GGTCTGAGGGTCTTGGCCAGGCTTGGCATGCATTCAGGCCTGTGGGCAGTGGGGAGCCCTGAGCCCCAAGAACCCTACACGGGGCTGGGAACAGTACAGCGGAAGCCAGAGGCAAGGTTTCCTTTCCTCCCTCTCTTCTGCTCCCACTTCCATTTTTTCTGAGACCGGGTCTCGGAATGTAACCCAGGCCGGCTCTGAATTCATGATCCTGCTGCCCCCATCTCCTGAGCATTGGCATTATGAGTGAGCACCACCACACCCAGCTCCAAGACAAAGTGTTTAGTAGGGTGTGGAGCTCTGAAAGGATGCAGTGCCCCTGGGCCTGTCGGGAATGTGGAGACAGGATCCAAGATGCCAGGCAGATGAGAAGGGAGGATCTCCTGAGAGCATCGAGACAGGTATAGTGGTCTGGGAGCCTGACTGACTGCAGATAGCGAACCCGTGGAGATGAGAGTGGATCCGGCAGGGCAGCTGCCTCTGGGCTGAGAGGAAGAGCGGGGAGGGCACAGAGGCCCAGCTTTTGGGAGGTGTAGACAGTGAGTAGCAAGCCGGGCGCTGGTGGATCACGCCTGTCACCCTGGCTACTCAGGAAGCTGAGATCTGAGGATCGCAGTTCAAAGCCAGCCCAGGCAGAAAAGTCCATGAAACTCTTACCTCCAATAAACCACTAGAAAACCGGAAATGGTGCTGTGGCTCAAGTGGTAGAGTGCTCGCCTTGAGCTGAAGACTGAGGGACAGTGCCCAGGCCCAGAGTTCAAGCCCCATGACAGACAAAAAAAAAGAAAGTGAGCAGCAGCGGGAGGCCCCAGCGTGGGATTCGTGCTCAGGGTGCTGTGCTGTTAGTGGGCATGGACAGGGGTCTGGGCCTCATCACACTACAGCAGAGAGCCTCAGAGCTGGGGTGAGGTGCAGCTGGACTGGGTGGAGCCAGGAGCGGGGTGATGGTAGCATGGAGGCCAGGTACGGAAGGTGGGTAAAGTCAACCGGCAATAGGAAGATCAGCCCACAGGCAGGGGCACGGGACGGGTGGCATATTTACCTGTCCTCTCGGCAGAACTCTGTCCTGGCCAAAACAACCAGTTCTTTTTCCTTTTTCCTTTTTTTAAAAAAAATTATTTTTTAATTATTTTTTTTTGGTGCTGGTGCTGGAATTTGAACTCAATGCCTAAGCTTTATACCTTAGCTTTTTCACTCAAAGCACCAGCTTTGAGTGAAACACTGCTCCACTTCTGGCTTTTTGGTCATTAATTGAAGATCAGTCTCACAGACTTTTCTGCCCAGGCTGACTTTGAACCATGATCCTCATACCTCAGCTTCCTGAGTAGCTAGGATTACAAAGCTACTAGTACCCAGCTTTCCCCCTTTTTTTCTTTCTTTTTCTTTCTCTTTTCCTTTTAGTTTTTTTTTTTTTTTTGTGGTTCATGGGCCTTGAACTCTGGGCCTGGGCGCTGTCCCTCAGCTCTTCAGCTCAGTGCAAGTACTCTACCACTTGAGCCACAGTGCCACTTCCAGTTTTCTGAGTGGTTTATTGGAGATAAGAGTCTCACATACTTTCCTGCTCCAGCTGGTTTTGAACCAGGATCCTCAGATCTCAGCCTCCTGAGTAGCTAGGATTACAGGTGTGAGCCACCAGCACCCAGCTTTCTTTTTCTTTTTGGTTGGTTGTGGGGTTTGAACTCAGGGCATGGGTGCTGTCCTTGAGGTTTTTTGTTCAAGGTTAATGTTCTACCACTTTGACACAGCAGCTTTTCCAGTTATCTGATGGGTAACTGGAGATAAGTCTCACAGAGGTTTTGAAACATGATCCTCAGATCTCAGCCTCCTGAGTAGCTAGGATTATAGGTGTGAGCCACAGTGCTGGGCTTCTGTCTCTGCTTCTTGAGTGCTGACATCTTGCTTACAGATATGTACCGCGTGTCTGGTTATGTAGCTTTGGACCAAGAGCCTGTGGCGTGCTGGGTGTTGTCAGGGGCAGCATGAGGGAGGGATGTCTGGAACTTGTGCCAGTTTCTCTGGCGTGGACACTTTCACTGTGGCAGGACAGCGCTGTTGGCTTGGAGGCAATGTTCTGCCACCGCCACCATGCAGTGTCCCACCACACAGTCAGACAGAACCTCAAGGACATAGAGAATGGAGAGGCTAGTCATTAGGAGATGGCAGGTTGGACTACTAGTGATATTTGCTTTTGAAGTAATTAGAACTGTGAGTTTTATGGCTCGGTGACACATGTTAAATTGGCCACACAATTGCCTTCCGCACGCGGTCTCCTCCATTTTCATGAGCCCTGCTTCCTTTTCACCTTTCCAATGTCCTCTTCTGCCCACAGCCCGAGCAGAGGCTGCTCTCAGAGGCTTCCAGGTGGACGCATGGGGATAACCCCGTAGGCCGGAGCGTGCTCACACCCTAGGTTTCACCCTACTGGAAGGGGCACAAAGTGAGCAAGGACCCAGTCCTGCCTGCCACCGGGCCCCCAGGGCACCTCAGGTGATTGTCCTGCAAGACAATACACAGACTGAGCTCGTGCCCAGGTGGCCCAAGAGTGGCATGTGACTGCCAAGGGGCAGGGAGGCCTCTGCCCTGGCTACGGGGCGGCTGCTCACGTGTGTGTGTGTGCGTGTGTGTGTGCGCGCGTGCGCACGGCTGCTCACGTGTGTGCGTGTGTGTGTGTGTGTGTGCGCGCGCGGCTGCTCACGTGTGTGCGTGCGTGCGTGTGGTCAGTGCCATTCTGACCCGAGCCACCACTCAAGTTTGTCTCTTTGTCCCCTGGGGGCGAGGGCAGGGGGCAAGGTGTGTGAGGCAGCAGAGTGCTGGCCAAAGCTGGAAGCGGCTAGTTAATGGAGCTGGCTGTTCAGCCAGGTGTGGGAGGAGAGAAGCGGCCGTGTAAGAGCACAGAGGTGCCTTGGAGGTGGTAATGGATCCAAGTGCCGGCTTGAACAGGTGCACCTGGGTGAAGGAGAGGAGGCGGGCTCCGCAGCCTGTCAGGTGTGATGCAGCATTCTGGGAGGACCGGCAGCAGCGTAAAGAGGGTTCACCGCCATGAGGG